GGGTACTTCATAAGCTCCAGGACAGTTTATTTACAAATGCCTTCTTTAATGAATCGTTCGATCCCACAGGGAAGTTCACAAGCTCCAGGACAGTTTATCTACAAATGCCTTCTCTACTGGATCATTCGATCCCACAGGCGTCGCCCTCAGAAACCCTTTGGCCCTGTACCGTGCTATTCGATCCGACCCATTTGTCATACACAGTCCAATTCCCTCATCTCGAGTTGAGCTTCCCGAACCATTTCACAGATCTATTCTCTAATGACTTGCCCAATCTCATTACCCCACCCAGTCTATTCCACGCTACTCGGGTATTTACAACGGTCCGCTTAAGTCCACTCGAGTTCCGCATTGACAGTCATGGCCACGAGGCACTTTCTGAGTGCTTCCGCCATTTATTTACAGATCTCTTCTATACTGATTTCCCATGGGCTTCTACCCGGAGCCCCAATTGCCATATACAGTCTGATTCCCTCCCCTCGAGTTGAATTTGCCTGACCATTTCACACCCGTAGTCACCTACTGACGTGCCCAATCCCATTGCTCCACACAATCTAGTCCACACTAATCGGGTATTTACAGCACGGTCTAGTTAGGTCCACTCGAATTTCGTATTTACATCCACGGTCACGAGGTACTTGCTAAGTGCTTACGCAGTTTATTTACAGATCTATTCTATCCTAATTAGTCAGACCCCACATATGTATTTTATACTAATTTGACCGATCCCATAGACATTCATTTGTCTTACACAGTTCAGTTAACGCAGGCATCATCATCCTCATGTGAATCAGTCATTGTCTAACCGCCTTACCGCGCAGACGAGAGACGCGGGTATTCCCGTAGCAAATCGCTCGAGACGATTGTTTTCCTCCCTGCCGTGGTCCCCGAAGCCATGTTTCGGGGTCCGTGATGAATGATGCATGTGTGAACCGCTTGTTCTCTAGAAGTCGTTTCTTGAGGAGGGCGAGGATATCAATTGTCTCTTCGTGCGTGGTAGAAGTTCCGTCCATATTCGGAAGATCTACAGTGAGGGGCTCTAAATCTGCCCATTCCAGTCGGGGGGCTACTAGTCGGTCAACATGCTTCTGTGATTCCGCTCTTAGCATGAAGCAATAAGCTCCAAGACTCTCGCCAGTTTCTGATCGTAATAACAGTCGGATCGCCGACACGCCCTTCATTGGCAGCACGTCACAGTCCGGACCAAGCCATTTCTCCACCATTGCAATCGCCTTCTGGATGGAGTGGTGGCCAGCAAATTTAAGGAATGGGATAGTCGGCAGTCTCGTCTCCTTTTGCAGTTGGCACAACAATAGCTGGAGCTTGGCCTCCCATATACGCAGCACCAGGGGGACAATTCGAAGGCGGTCTTGTTGTCGGAGCTCATCAAACCTCCCATCTAGCACCAGCATGCGTTGCACATGTATGTCGTTGAACGCGTGATTCTCTTCCGCTTGCTGTATCGGTCCCGGGTTCTCCTCCTCCTCCACCCTCTGGAATTCCGTCAGTTCCATCTCGTTCAGCTGCACTTAATCAATCTCCTCCATTCCTTGCTGTGCTCGAGGCTGGACGGGGTGAAGCGAGAGGGAGGCAGAGCTGCTGAGAACAAGGGGGTTGGCCCATGTCGTGTCGGGTTCCGGATCCGCCTGTTCTTCCGGCCCCACATTTGTCTGTTGCTCTTGCGTCTTCATAGCCGTAAGCGTGTGAGGCTGGTCCATTGGCGTTCTCAAAAGGAGCCGCTGACGTTTTAGATTTTCCGCTTCTGAAGCACTCGTTTCTTGCGCCAACGCTCCCGAAAGGGCCACCCTCATCTTTTTCTGTGCCCTACTTCTTTTTTTCCCCGCCAACGAGATCTGCGGTTCTTCTATGCTGGCATTCCAGAGCGACTCAATTTCTTGCCTTGCCTCATGTTCGAGTTGCGTTTGGTTCTTAGGTAGAATAAGCGTTGACGGATGCGGCTTTCCCAGGCGGAGGTCGTTCAATCCTTGCAAGATCTGAGAGTGCCCAGGGTCATCGCCCCCCTCCACTTTGCCTTTCTCCCCCATCTGTTTTGCGGAGGTCCACAGGGGGTCTTCCTCCGATCGCCTTGCCTCTTGTGCCGATCCTGAACACTCATGTAGCCATCCCCCTTGTGTCCTCCAGCCCGCCAGCCTCTGCTGGCTCTTGTCCCCGTCAGCACTCCCTGATCGGTTACCCCTCCCGATCATCAATCGTTGCGCGGTATTCGGGTGCTCAGCTCTCCTCTCTTTCGTTTGTTTGCCGTTGACCTCATGATTTTCGTCCGAGTTTGGCTGCTGTACTCCCTGTTGCTTTGGTCCAATCTTCTCTTCTTGTCCTCTGATATCCACCTCCATATCGCTCATCCCTTCCGTCTTTGGCCTAGGCGAGTCTTCAGCTTTCTTGTCTTCCATTTGCTTGCTCTTGGCCTTTCGGTTTTCGCCTAGGTTTTGCAGCTGCTCTCCCTGTTGTTTTGGTCCAGGCTCCTCTTCTTGCCCTCTCAGATCGATCTCCATAGCACTCCTCCCTGTTGTCTGTGCGTTCCCCCGACATCTGTGAGTTTCTTCGTCGTCTCGTTCTGCTCGGTCTTCGTCAACGGCTGTTCCAGTCGTTGCGCGATGTCACCACTCCAGCCCTTTGGCCAATTCTTCGTTCGGCTCTTCCTCCCCCTGGCCTTTCCAACTTTGCGGTTTGGCGCTTCGATCCTCATCCTGCCGTGTAGGTCCCTGTCGCCTGTCCTGAACACCCTTCCTTTCTGCTGCTGGTTGGGACGTTTGTCCCAGCACCCCTTTCGGGATGTTTTCTCTCCTCTGTACTTACCGCGGCGGTGGTGGCCTCTGCCCAGCCTTCGATTGTCATTCTTCGTGTCCCTGCCCCCCTGTACCTCAGCATGAGACGCTTTCTTCTGGTGTGGTAGGAGGGCTGCATCCCCCATCTCCTTCACATACCCAAGGTTGTCGCTCATGGTGATTTCGGCAAAAATTATTTGATCATATTCGCTTTCGAAGTGCGCCCATGCCGCAATCTCCGTGTGTTCATCCTCCGGCAGGCCAAGGTTGTTCTTAAGACGGTGTTCTCGGTAGATCATTTCCTCCTTGGTCTCCGCCTGCGTCAAGTATCGTCCTGCTTCCGCCGAATGGCCATGTTTGTGGCAGTTTTCGCACCACGGCGTCTCACTAGTAACACATCGTCTCTCTGGTTGACCGTAGTACGCTTGGTCCATCGAGAAGCGCTCCAGGGCCTGGCTCTTGAGCGGCGGTTGCAGGTCAAAGCGCACCGATTCCTTGCCTTCGGCATCTGTCGTCCACTTCCCTTCCTGATTTTTGACGGCTCCGAAGAAGGCTTCTGCAAACTGCTTAAGGGAGAGGGCAGTCATGGGAGGAGGTTGGACGAACCTAACCCAAGGATTCGCCCGTCTTTCCTGAAGCTTCATCCATTCAAGTTCGTTGGGGGTCATCTAGGGTTTGAAGCGGATATAGTAGGTGCGTGCCCCCACTGTGATAGCCTCCCATTGCTTCTCGTAGAGCAACCAATTCCACAGGTCCACTGTTGGCGCCCAATAGAAGGCCGCTGCGTTGCTCTCTATCGTTAAGCGGCCCGAGTGGCCCCCCTGGCCTTTCTCTGTCCAGCTCACCACTTCCCAGTCCTTAACCCATTCCCGCTTCGTTTTGGGGGAGAAGTCTTTGAGCGGGCCTTCAAAGCACATGAGGATGACATGAGCCCAAAGGTAAGTTATCTGAGCCTTGGCCACCTTTTCCCCCAGCCAGAGCGTGCACTCTCCGTTTGCTTGCTTGGGATACGCTGAAGGGTCATCGACGAAGGTGCGAGTCAGCGCCGCTCTCCGGACTCTCCTCATCGCTTCATAGTCCGTTAAATTGAGGTCGACAGGGACCCTTGTCGCCTGCTCCTGCAGAGGCTGCTCCCCCCCGGGAGGGCCATCTCCAATGTGCTTCTAGGGTTCGGCCTTTTCTTCCCCGCTCCCCGGGTTTTTACACAAGGCCGGTGTCTCTCCCGTGGAATCAGACGATTCACTGTCAGAGTAATATCCCAGCCGACCCGGGTTATTCAGTCTTCTCGCAGATGACGATGGGAGCTCTGGTAGTCTAGTTGGTTCGTTGGCGTACCCCTTCCTGCCAGCCGGCTCCTGAGGGGAGGGGTCAATCGGAGCCTTACCTTTCCCTTCTACTCTAGCAGCTGTGGTGGGGGCCACTCCGTACCTTCGTCTCCGACGGCAACGGCAGGTGGTCCTCCACCCCGGCGGTTCTATGGATGAGGAGGCAGGCCCCACTGGGGCTGGAGGAGGGGGGCTGCGAGTTTGGAGTTGCTCTCCCTGCGAGGAAGACGTCCGATATTGATCCGAGTGCCAGTTAGGGTCGAATGCTCTCAACCACCTCTCCTCCTGTTCTATTCTACGTCTTAGCCAACTAATATGAGCTTCCAGCCTTCGCTGCTTCCTTCTCGTTAGCCATCGCCCGACTGTGGAGATCCAGATTTGTTGTAGTCCCCCCCTTCGTCCAATCTCCACCCATACCGCAAGGGCCGCCAACCAGTCAATCCATCCCCCCGTGGTGAGCAGTTCCCACGACACTACTACCCGGTTTCCTATCCCCAAGATTTGTCGACAACAGATGTATGCCACTCTTTAAGTAAGGATCCACAATACACTTCTTCCTACGTCCACTATCACTATTCTCCAGACATGCGACAGGGCTGTCCACAGCGCGTCGATGAGGTTGCGAATTCCCTCAGTTTGTCTAGCCAATACCCACCCTAAAATCAACAAGAAAACTCCCCAGAGTTTCTCCTCATCCCCCATAAGTCTTACCTATTCGGTGTCAGTCAGTGCGGCCATTCCACGTCGCTTTCTCTACTCGCCTGTTACCCGGTGCAATCATCTTTTTCCTGTCCCTTTCCCCTCTCAGTAGTTGTTAGCTGTCCACCCGCCTGCAGACAGTCGTAGACTAATTTCTCCCCGAGTCGCTTTCGCCTTTGGTCAGCTGTCCCAAATCGTTCACTCTTCGCAGTCCTTTCTCCCCTCTTGGTATTCAGTAGTTGAGGCCGTTGACTTTCTGTCGCCCACTTGCTGCCGCCAATGGTCGCACCCTGATTGCTCGCATCCGTCTGCCGTAGTTCCCTTATTGCCAGCGCCACGATTTCACGTTCGTTCACTTTCGCCTGCGGTGTCTGAGCCCCTTCCACTGTTGACGAGCCATCCCTAGTCGTTTTCTCTATGCTTTTCTTTCTCCCCTTTCGGTAGTCGTTGGGTGAGGCTGTTGACTTGCTATCTCCCTCTATCGCTCTTCGCCTCACTTGTCGCCGCCTATCATTCGCATCTTCCCCTAGGATCTCTCTTCCACATCTCTATTGCATACGCCCTCGCTTGGCCTGTCTCGCCTCCGGCGCCCCGATTTCGCGTTCGTTCGCTTCCGCCTGCGCTGCCTAAGTCCCTTCCACCTTTGACTAGCGCTCCCTTGACTTTTTGTCTCCCTCTGTCGCTTCTCGCCTCGCTTTCCACTGCCTATCATTCGCATCATCCCCTAGGACCTTTTTTCCACAACTCTACCGCATACACCGTCGCTTGGCCTGTCTCGCCTCACACCACGCCGTCGTCACTTCGTCACTCTCTCGCTATCCGTCTCTCTTGCCATTGTCACTCCTGCCCCGATGCCCATTGTTGCTTCGGCTCACGCGTAGCGTCCGACTTCCATTACCGTCTCCGTTGCCATCCCGCCCTTCCCATCATGCCCCTCCACGCAAGCCTTTTCCATCGCCACGTCACCACTTATACTTCGTCCCTTCGTCGTTTAGTCACTATCCCACCGTCGCTCCGTCTCGATCCCACGTGTCACTACGACCAACTCTTCCGTCGTGCCCACCATCGTGCCGGCAGTAGCCCTCCATCGTGTCGTCGTTGTTCCGCGCGTATCTTTAGCGAGGTCTGTGGCTACGCCAATGGTCGCACCCCAATTTCTCGCGTCCGTCTGCCGTGGTCTAGGACCTCTCTTCCACAACTGTACCGCATACACCCTCGCTTGGCCGGTCTCGCCTCACACTACCCTTGTACTTTCTCATTCTCGTCGCACGGTGCTTCGTACCTTCGTCGTCACTTCGTCGCTCTCTCGCTATCCATCTCTCTTGTCATCGTCACCCCTACTCCACTTTCCGTCGCTGTTTCAACTCGCGCGTCCCGTCCGACTTCCATTACCGTCTCCGTTACCGTCCCACCCTTCCCACCATGTCGCTCCGCACGAGTCTTTTCCATCGCCACGTCTCCACTTGTACTTCGTCCCTTCGTCGTTTCGTCACTATCCCACCGTTGCTCCGTCTCGATCCCACGTGTCACTACGACCAACTCTTCCGCCGTGCCCACCGTCGTGCCAGCAGTAACCCTCCGTCGTGCCTTTGTTATTCCGCGCCCATCTTTAGCATAGTCCGGGTCTACTTCTTCCGTTGTCACGTCACCTCGTGTCCGCGGGATTCTTCGTCACTACGTTGTTAGCACTCACACCTCTTTAGAGCCTGCCACAGCGTGTCATCTTGTTATCGGCATACGCGGCACTATCTCACGCACTCCATCGCAGCACTACATACCCATTTGTTTCATCGCCACTTCCAGCGCCGCCGCAACCTACGGCACCTTTGACGCATTTATTCATCGTCATTTCTAGCGCTGCAGTACCCCCGTATCACCCACGTCCTCCGCTTCCTCCGCCACTTCAACCTATGCCCTATATGATTGTACTCTATGTCATCGTCCCACGCGTCATGCTCTCACCCTCTCGCTCTCGCTCTCACAGTTTGTATTCGTACGCTTTCACAGTTTGCTTATCCGCACGGCATTCGGGATTTCGTCACCGAAATCAGACTTCGGGGTTTCGGGATTTTACTTAGTCATTTTTCATGAGTCTTATCCGCATGGCGTTCGGGATTTCGTCACTGAAATCGAACCTCGGGATTTCGGGATTTTACTACGTTGTTTTTGGAAGTCATATCCGCACAGCGTTCGAGATTGCATTACCGAATTCGCACTTCGGGATTTCAGGATTTTACTTAGTCGGTTTTTCAAAGTCATATCCGCATCTGCGGTTCGGGATTTCCTCACCGAAATTGCACTTCGGGATTTCGGGATTTTACTTAGTCGTTTTTTCGAAGACATATCCGCACGACATTCGGGATTTTGTTACTGAAATCGCACTTCGGGATTTCGGGATCTTACTTAGTCATTTTCGAGTCTTATCCGCATGACATTCGGGATTTCGGCACCGAAATCGCACTTCAGGATTTCGGGGCTTAACTTAGTCGTTTTTTGTGAGTCTTATCCGCACGTTGTTCGGGATTTCGTTACCGAAATCGCACTTCCGAATTTCGGGATTTCGCTTCGTCGTTTTTCGAAGTCTTATCCGTACGGCATTCAAGATTTCGTTACCGAAATCACAGTTCAGGATTTCGAGATTTTACTCGGGCGTTTTTCATGAGTCTTATTCACACGACATTCGAGATTTCGTCACCAGAATCGCACTTCGGGGTTTCGAAATTTTACTTAGTCATTTTTCGTGAGTCTTATCCGCATGGCGTTCGGGGTTTCATTACCGAAATCGCACCTCGGGATTTCGGGATTTTACTAGGTCGTTTTTGTAAGTCATATTCGCACGGTGTTCGGGATTTCATTACCGAGTTCGCACTTCGGGATTTCAGGATTTTACTTAGTCGGTTTTTCAAAGTCATATCTGCATGTGCGGTTCGGGATTTCGTCACCGAAATTGCACTTCGGGTTTGCGGGATTTTACTCTACTTTTAAAGAATAGAAATTTTGCAGAACAGACTGTCTTACATATAATGATATAACCCATATTGTCATTTATCTCAATGACTCTTTCATTGCTGAAGCATCTCGTTTTGCCATTGTGAATGCACTTTCATTTCTGTATTTCGATTCCGCTCTCATCTCCTTACATAAATTAATTGAATACAATATTTTCAATGGGGTTGAAATAGTGTATTGTCCTTGATATGTTGGAAGAATAACACATGAATTGGAAAACCATCGGAGGCACAAAAAAAAAAACACTCTTTCTGCTGCGATCTGTGACTGTTTGTTGGTGTCTGCATGTTGTCTGAGTACATGTTGGACTGTGTGTGTGTGTGACTGTGTGGGCTCGTGTGAATGTCGTGTAGCCTCTTTCACCATCCTCTCATCTCTATCCGCCCCTATGCAAGTCGTTCTCTTCCCGCTAGGTCCGATTTGTGTGTGTTGAGAATGTTTGTTGTTGCTGTGTTCCTAAGTTTGTGTGTGATTAGTTCGTTGGTTTCTTCCTGTTGTCTGAATGCATATGAGACTTTCTGTGTGATCGCGTTGGGGTGTGAATGTCGTGTGGACTCTTTCCACCCTCCTCTCATCTCTCTCCACCTCAATGCAAGTCGTTCTCTCCCCGCCCCGTGGTCCACTTTTTGTAATAAACAGCGAATGTAATGCAAATTCTGCTCTCATA